CCCGTGGATGTATTCCATCAAGTCCATCAGGCTTATGGTAAGCCTCATAATTGAGCAGCATCGTGAAATAATTTTTAACTAAGGATATTGTGAGCTTTGTCTCAAAAAGCATATACAAAGTATGAAGGTGAAAGTATCATATCTGTAAATATGAACGTTTTGCATATGCTGGTCCAGATTTTTTCCACTTAATTTTAGGCACTGACTGTGGATTCCTTGTCACCTTAGATCCTTCTCTAGTTACATTCCCAACTGCCTCCAGCGAGCAGTTCAAAACTGAGACCCTTATATCACTGCCTGTAGCCCAGGGTTGCTGTGACTTGGCATCTTGATATCTTGCCCAGCTTTAAGTTTTGCTGTTGCAGGCACGTTGCATGCCTGGTGCGTTTTCTGCCTGCCTTTAATTTCTCCTGTCTCTGAGCACAAATTTGTGAAGCAAACCTGAGCAGCTGTAGTGTAGGAGTGGGAAAGAAAGTGCGTCTTCAGGAACCCTAAAACAGCTGAAGATCATTGCCGGGCAAGTAGGATGATTGTGCCTTGAGAAAACCTCGGCACGTATTTACAGCTGGATGCAGTGGTTAGCCAGAGCATGCACACTGAGGCTGAAAATGAAAACTGGCTCAACGCACGCTTAATAAAATTGAGTAACCAAGTAAGTGGTTGTTTTTTCTGGCTGCTCTGCCAGTTTGATAAAATTCCTGTTTGAGCCCTGCTCAGCCAGTTGACTCCTGTGCTACTATTTTGGAAGGGCTGCACGTGGCTGCGGCTGCTTGTGCTTTTCCCATTGTGCAGTGAGAGCCACAGCTGCCATTTGGTGGCATTTCTGGAAGTGCGAACCCCCCACGCTTTCAAATCCCATTTTAGATTAATTAGTCCAAGACTTTACTTAAAGATCCAAAGGGTGAGTTGTCTGGAAAGACAGGCATGGTTTGAGCAGCTATAATGTGAATAGAAATGTATGTTAATAGTGAGTATTTGGAGTTACCAGAAGCTGGAGATCTAAATTGTTTGTGAGAAACCTTCTTCTAGCTATGGTTATCTTAGTAAGGATAACACCTGAAGGATCTATCCACGTATTCCCAAGTGTGTTTTGTAATTTCTGTGCAACCTGTGCCTGCAAAACGTGGCATTTAGAGTATGGTGAGGTGCTGTGAGGAGTAGCAAAGGGATCTACAGTTTTTGAACAGCAGTGATTGAGACTACCAAATGCCTGGCTTACGAGCAGATGCAATGTTACCCCGTGCAGCTGACCAAAACATCACTGGTGTAAATGGAAGCGTAGCCTGAAACAGAGGGTTTTCCTTCTTCGGTTTATGAGGCTCATGTGGATGCTGCTGGTGGTCCTTTTATAGAATCATAGAATCATAGAATCATAGAATCACTAGGTTGGAAAAGACCTTCTGGTCTCACAAGTTCTCTTATGAGAACTGCCTTTCCTGCAGAGCCTTTGGTTTTGGTTTGTCCTGCATGGCAAAGTGTAATGGTACAAACTCAGCCAGCGCCAGCGTCCCTTCCGCGTCCTTGGGCTGACTGGCAAGCTGGCTCGTCTCTGCTGGTGCTGCGGCCGGACACCACGGAGGAGGGCGGGTCGAAGGGCAGCGTAGGCTGACAGGACAAGGGCGACACCAGATGTGTGTTTTCCAAAGCGTGTAGACCCATGTTTATAGAGATTAAAAGTTTGGAAGTGTGAAGATTATTTATTTCTTTTAAGAAGCTGTTGAGTCTTTGGTGACTTAGATCTCTGTTTAACCTGAGTGGCTGCTCTATCATTCTAGAAGAACGGCTTGTAACCTGGGAATTTCAGTCACTTGGTATCGCACACCCAAAAGGTAGAGATGTCACTATTTAGGCAGAAATACTATCTTTTTCAGTTGCAGCTCTAATGCTTTTTAGCTTGCTGGGGATCTCAAAACCAAAAAAGAACCAAAAAACCCTCCTTCACGGAGCTTCATTGTAAAAAGGATGGCTGTGGCACATGGTTACGCACGAAGTGCTTATTGCTCACCTCACACAGAGAATCAGGGCTGGAGAGCTGAAGTCTCGTGGCTTTCTCCTGCAGGCCTGAGATGCCGCTCGCTGTTGTTTTGGGAAACTCCCCCGCTGGGCTGCTGTGCAGGAACCAATTCTGATTGGTTTGGGGCTGGTGTGTCCTGCCACCCATGCTTACAGATGCAGCATGGAAATGAGACTTTTTAAAGTTTTACCAAGGGTTATGAAGTTTGGATGGGTGGACTGCACTACCCCTCGTCTTCTAAGCCTGATTAGTATGAGAAAAGAGCATGGTATCAGGATTTTCTTTTTAATGCTGGCTATTCAGATCAGTAAGGTGAGCTAATGGTGCTAGGAAATGTAGTTCAGACTATAGCGCTGTTTCTGTTCTACTGTACATCAGCTGGTTTAGGCACATTTGAGATCTCTTCTTGGTAGAGAGAAGAGTGAATTAGCAGGGGAGGTTAAGCACTTTGAAAATCTTCTTTTTCTGTCCTGCATGACATTGGGACTGTTTGTCAGTACAGAAGTACTGGTGTAGTCTGTCAGCAAAGCACTGCTAGCATGGATGAAACTCTACTGGCAAAGCTGTATTTTGGTCAAGTCATTCCCAGTAGGGTCAAAATGCTCCCCAAGTTGAAGTGCAGCCTTGTTGGTATAATTACAACCACACCAGGAGCTTCCTAAAGCCCCGAGAGCTCCAGCAGGGATCGCACCTATTTCTACTTCTGGCATCCAACAAGAGTCTGATGGAGACTTTGTCGCATTAAGAACCTCCTAAGGTAAATTTAAATTCCTTCTTTCGTAGGGCACCTCGATTTAAGGGGTTCCAGCAGCAGGACAGCCAGGAGCTTCTGCACTATCTGTTGGATGCGATGAGGATCGAAGAAACAAAGGTAACATCTTTGTGTGTGCTTTTAAAGAACTTATTGGACTGTATGGTGAATTACTAGTCATTGCTTCAACGTTCTTCATGTTCCCAATGTTTTAAAGAACATCTGTCTGAGAAAAATGACGACTCTTTTGAAAGACGATTTAATTATGTTCATGTTGACAGGTTAAAATTGCTGATTGGAATGAAAGGTTCAGTCAGCAGTAGAAAGAGTACAGTAAGTAAGTAGATTATGTTAACTTTAGAATCATAGAATGGTTAGGGTTGGAAGGGACCTTTAAAGATCATCTTAAAGGAATCTGAATTGTTTGTCTTAAAAAAAATAGAAAAGGATGAAAAAAAATGGACTTCTGGGGAGTCAAGAAAGTCGAAGTAGGACCTCTGATCTAGCTGACAAAGTGCGTTTTAAGGCCGTGGGACAGAAATTAGCAGATCCTAGTTGTGGGTCTACCCACAATTTTCATTGAAATCTAGTTCAACTAAGAAAAAAGGACAAAAATAAAATATTGCAAAGTTTCTTATATCTCTTGAGAGTGTGAAGAACTATTTGGGCCACGAAGATGCTCAGAGCGGCTGGAGTACCTCTCCTGTGATGAAAGGCTGAGAAAATTGGGCTTGTTCAGCCTGGAGAAGAGAAGGCTCCGGGGAGACCTTATTGCAGCCTTCCAGTACCTGAAGGGGCTACAAGGAAGCTGGGGGGGGACTTTTTACAAGGGCCTGTAGTGACAGGACAAGGGGTAACGGGTTTAAATTGAAAGTGGAGAGGTTTAGATTGGATATCAGGAAGAAATTCTTCACAGAGAGGGTGGTGAGGCACTGGAACAGGGTGCCCAAAGAAGCTGTGGATGCCCCATCCCTGGAAGTGTTCAAGGCCAGGCTGGATGAGGCTTTGAGCAACCTGGTCTAGTGGAGGGTGTCCCTGCCCATGGCAGGGGGGTTGGAACTACATGGACTTTAAGTGCACTTCCAACCCAAACCATTCTGTGATTCTATGATTCTATGATTTATTTCATAAATAAGTTTCTGCTTTTCATTATGTAAAATCTACATTTAAGTATGCTAAGTATATCGGCAGTTGTATTGTATTAAAAATGGCCCTGTGTGGGGTTTTTTTTGTTTATCTTCATAGAATCATAGAATGGTTTGGGTTGGAAGGGATGTTAAAGGCGATCTAGTTCGAAACCCTCTGCCATTTCCTTCGTTATTTCTGCCTCCTGCATTGTTGAATGCAAGAAAGTGTGGGTTTGCTTGCTTGAACTATTTTGACCGTATCAGATTTCATCTGCCTGACTTAGTCTTGTGCCCTTTTTTTCAGATATTTTGGTAAATTGCATTTTCTAAGCCTGGTCAAAAGGATGGCCTTAAATCTCATCCTGACCGGCATATGCCTCTTCCCTCCATTTAGTAACGCGATGAATGTCGTGATCTTGAGCTGAATTATCTTACAGATAAGATCTAAGGCTGTGTCTGAGCACAGTTCCTGGCACGAGAATAGAGCTGAACCCATCCTACCAGAACACTAATATATATTGGTCTTGTCAGCAGGGTACTGATCATAAACAGAACTGTACTGCGGAGAGAAACAGCTAAACCTTGACCTTGTCACGCTTAGAAAGTTAGGCGTTGAACAGGGCACGCAACAGACAGACAGAAAACAGTTGTCATGCTTTTGCAGTAAAGGGACACTTCATTATTTTGTTTGTTCATTTTCATGTAATAAAAGGTGGAAACCATATTTTCTTCGCGAAGCAGGATTATTGCACTAAGCTGCTTCTCCAGTGGCTGATAGCGCTTTCCCCTGAAGTCAGTCTCCTGTTTCACCAGTGACCATGCCATCATTACGATAATCTGCATTTGTATTTGCCTTTTGAAGCGTTTATTAGTAGAGAGCAGTGACAGCTACAGTAGCTGCCACAACGAGAGCAGTGGAAGATGGCGGCCCCACCACCCGCCCTGCCCTGCAGTTACACCCCTCTGCTGCCCTGATGGTGCATTACTACAAACACGTCTTCATCGCCTCGGGCTGTGCCATCAGGGACAGTACTAGACTATTTTAAAATTATTTTATTCAGTTATCCCGTGTTTTGGGTCTGTAGATGTTGTGACAAACAGCAAAGGTCAGGCTCATGGTGAGTGCCGTGCCAGCCGGACACAGGCCGGCCTAGCAGCTGCCCACATGGCCTGCCCACCATGGCCTGCAGCAGCTTGTCTGCCGCCGGCGTCCTGTCGCAGGGGTACGGCACCAGCGTTTCTCTTCCACGTCGCTTTTAAACTTCACTCTCGGAAGAGGGACCAGCACTGTGGAAAGGGCAGCCAGCTGCTTTGGCATCCACCTGCAGGAGAGATGAACGCGGCCATCGCTGCTTCCCTATCGCTTCCGGGGTCAGTTGTTTTTAAACACTAAGAGTTATGATGCGAAATACATGCGGTATGTAACATGGCATTAGTTACAGGCGCTAACAAAAAATTGCGTTCCACTTTTGCCTCTTCTCTGTGGTTTTGTGTCTCATACAAAGGCTGACATCGGTGTTGGACTTCTTCCTATCCATGTTATAAAAAGTTCGAAAGCACGAATGTACGCAAGTGGATTTTTTAAGGGAAAAGCTTGTCGATACTACAATAAAGATGACATCGCGTCTGCCGTTTCCAGCAATGTGGGCCGGAGATGGTTTCACACCGGGGCCTGAAGTGGCTGAACCCTGCTGCTAATTGATTAATGTCTGCTGCCATTGTCCGCAGCACCCTGCCCATTCAAAGACTATGTCTTTCTTTGACCTAAATAAATGGTTCAACGAGCTAATCCCAACAAAAGGGTTGCTTATGGCCCTAAACCCATTTATGGTGCTCAACTTCATGAATTACCTATTGATTAGTCCTTTTAGTATATTGTTGGCTTTAAGATGAACAAAGCTGAGCTCGGGGCAGCGGGAGTTAATTCATAAGCCAGGTCACACACTCCTAAGGTAGGAGCATGACTTGGTCTGATGGGTGCCTGAACTGGAAACCGAACCTCCAACGCTGTCTGTCATCCTAACACTTTCGTAATATATGACTTGAAAGCGCACTTTGCTGCCTGCAGCAAGAGCTATTTATTATTTTTTTTCCTGTCAGGACACGGGATTTGAGTAACTTGCAGGAGGCTTGGTATCGCCATTTCTCCCTAGAATGGTACTTTGCTCTCAGTGCGACTTCAGTGACACATTTAATTGTAAATGTCATTTGCACTCTGACACAGGAGACTTGTACATGTTGCTAGAGTTTGTGGATTAGAGAGCGAGTCCATTTGCCAGGAAAAAGAGAAGCATGGGTCATGCACGGTACAGTGGTCCTTGGTTGTAGACCTGATTCATCCTCCCTCTCCACAGCGTGCCAGAGGTTGGGCTGAGTGGTCTTTTGTACCAGCCTCTGCAGCCCTGCTGCCACGGTACACGTCTTGGGAATACATCATCTCCTTATCCCAAGGCAGCTGAGAAATATGGCGGGGGGAAGCATCCCCCCGCCCTGAGGTGCAGCTACAGCTCACTTGTGTGTATCTCCTTTTTTCTGATTCTCCTATCAAAAACGTAGTTTTCAGGAATTTTTGAGAAAATGTTGATGATGTTTATGTCAGTTCATAAAATGTTTTGTCTCTCTCCTAAGGTTTTCTAAGACTGAAATGTGCAGTGCTAGAAAGTAAATGGAAGTAATACAAATACTGCCCCAAACAATACTTAACTGCCTTCAAGTATTCTGTATCCTAGTCAATCAGTTGATTCTTCAGTATGAAGTATGATTCTTCCCAACAGTGGAAAAAATGGAAAGTATTTGTTCACTGGAAATCTTACAGTTTCTCGATAAGCTCTCGAGCGCCCTGCAATGGCCCCTTTTTAAGGGGAGGCAGTTTTTGGATGGTTACCTGCTGCAGTTAAGTGCCTGTAGCTTTGACACCCTGAAGAACAACAGTGGGTTTAAAATATTAAATTATGCTTATTTCATGGGAATAAGAGTAGATGCAATCTAATCGTGTATTAATAGTTTTAATATTGTTTACAATTAAAATATTTGCTGAATGTTTTGTTTGTTTTCTTAATTATAGCGCATACAAACTGGTATCTTAAAAGCATTTAATAATCCAACTACTAAAACGGCAGATGAAGAAACTAGAAGAAAAGTCAAAGGTATGCAGCTCTTTACTGAATACTTTAAAATAATGCCAAAGTTTTTAAATACCATTTTCTTCAAAACTGACTACTGCAAAGAGCAATCCCGAAGTACTGTAGTTACACGACTTTTGTTACGTGTTATTCTAGTGCCACCTAGTGCGTATCTAACGGATAGAGAGCTTACTATGTGCTGACTTGCATCTTTGTATCCGGGGTAAAGTCTTCCCCTGATTTAATAATGCCTCTTGTACTGATAGGTAGAATTTAATTTTGTTTTCTAAAATAGTTTGCTGCATCTTCAGGTTGATTATGTAGCCATAACTACTGTATCACTCAGAGAGGCCACTTTCCATAAATAAACATGTTTTTTCCAAACAAGGTTTTTAATTATTTTTTGTGTGTGTGTTCATGCAAAAGTCCTAATCTGGGGGATTTTGTTTTAATTAAAGTCTTAATAATGATTAAGCTGCTTTGAAAGTCACCCTTCCCAAATCTGCAACCGTTAAGGCATAAAGATGTATTAGAACATTTTGTCTCATTTCTAGAGTTTTACAGTTTCAAAAGCCATTTAGAAAGGGTAACAACCTGTCTGCAACCCTAATTTCTATATCAAGGCAATACAATATTATGTATTCAAAAGAATTCAGAGATTTTATTTAAAAGGCTGCTTCTTGAGAGATACAGTATTATTACTGTTACAGTAGGTGGGAAAGGGAAGTACAAAAGGGAATCGTATCACTAAAATATTTTTAAATGTTGAGATAATACAAGATATGATGTATTAGTTATTGTACTATATTGAAAACGTTTTTATTATGTTTTAACTTGTGCTTTTGCCGTAAATCTTAGAAAGAATTTTGTTGTACTTATAGTGTGGTATTGGATCTGTTATTTTTCACATTTAAAAAAAGGCAATGTTTTTTCAGCATATGGAAGAGAGGGTGTGAAGATGAACTTCATAGATAGGATCTTTGTTGGTGAATTGACTAGCACTGTCATGTGTGAGGAATGTGAAAATGTAGGTATTCTGGAATTTGGTTTGATGTGGAATAGATCACATACTGGTTGGATTATGTTGTCTTGAAAGTATAAAATTGTATTGCCAATTTTATACTTGTTTGTTTGTTTGTAAGAACAAGACTTTATTGAAAGTTTCTCATTTAAAATGATTTATTCCTTCTTTAAAGCATTATCCTCCCAAACCTAAGAAGAGGGGTCCTTTGAATTCAGAAAGGATTCAAGAACTGGGCTTGATTTTTCTTCTAACTTAAGGCTGGAGATTCTAAATTTTATAATCATCTGCATTACACCCCAGTTTTATTGGATATTTTTAAAACACCCACCTGTCTTAAAACGTAAATCCTCCTGCCTACTCTTCTGGGATATACCTGAAAATTGGGAATGAATTACTTTGACTTAGCATGAGTGGGGAAATGCTAAAATTACTTTTTTGTTTCTTGAAGTATTTTTGATAATTAACATAATAACTCTAATGAACAGCATATTCCTTTCATAATTAATATTACTGACATTTCATCATAAATGCTTTCCATGATCCTTATAATTTTCTTTAACTTTGGAAGAGAAAAAATCTTATTTGCATGACTTCTCTACTTGAATGTTACATCTGTGTTTGGTTTAAAACATTATGTTTCATATTATAGAGATTAAGTAAATCAATCAGTCTGAATAATTAAGCACAGTCCTGCAGGGCCAGGTAAACTTCCCCGTGTGTGATGTGCAGATTACACTTCAATGTGCTACTAGTACCAATGAAGAACTTCGGCTCTGTACAAAATAGAGGTTGTATGTCATTTATTTTTGCTGGATTCTGGTATTCTGCCTGCACAGGACTCGGGACTTGGCTAGCTGTAGCCCTTTGGGGAATAGTTTAGCTATGGCTTTCCTTTGCTGCATTGGCAAAGAGACTTTTGCCTAATGTTCGTTCATACAAACTGACTCTTTAGAGGAAGCCCTGTTTGGACATTGCTCATCAGGCAGTCTGTCCTCGTAGTTACGATAGGTGTGATCTCATTTATTGCTTTACCGGAACCTAAACCATGCTGAATCCCTTGCACAGCAGGTAAAAACAAGTCTGCGGTCCATATCAAATGTTGCAGGTGGAAGATAGGGGCACAAATACAAGAGAAGGGCAGCGGTGACAGTAACTGAGGGCGTGACTGTGTTCAGGAACTCACCTGTACAACATGTTTTTTATATTTTTTAAGGCCTTGGTTTCTGCAGTCTTTCCAGAGGTAAGATAAGTCAGTTTCGGAAGGAATTTGAGAACGGCAAGGGAGAGCACTGAAGGAACAGGCTTGGAGGGAATGTTCTAGCCATAAAGGCAGATGGGAAGTGCTGAGAGAATGTCTTTAGGTATGATTTGCCAGATATTTCCAGTTTCAGCTTAGATTTTATATGGTTTATAGGTGGCAAAATAAAACTCCAGTAAAGAAAGTAAGTGTTGGGTTTTTTTCCCAATCCCCTTTTCCCCAGTAATTGGATTTATTTTAACTATTACTAGCATGTGGTATGGTGTAAACAGTTCTAAGTAACCAGTAAGCCTGACTTAATCTTTTCTGAGACCATCAGGTTAGAACCTGTCCTCTAACTGTCATTAACCAGTCCTTGCTGCGTAACAGTGTACGAGGTCAAACGCCTGCGCAAAAGTGTCCGGGATCAGGAAACCCTAAAAGTTAGCTTTCTGCAGAATGGTACCACCTAGAAGGCCCACATGACTTGAAAATCTGTCTGGAGCTCAGAGAAACTGAGCACCATGCTGCTTCTAGGACCAGTTTGTGTCCAGATGAATAGCCTTGCCCTTTACATCTCTCTGCTGAAGTTTTGTGCAGTTAGAACGAAAATCGAAGCTAACTCAAAAAAAAAAAAAAAAAGAAAAGAAAAAATGTTTTTGGGAAGTTCTTCATTGTAGTTTGATGCATCTTGTAACTAATTAGCTTTTTGTATAGCTTCTGATAGTAATTTAATTTAAAATGGGAGTTATGTGCTAAACCCATATATTGGTATTTGCATTTAATATGCATTTTCTCTTTTTCTTCAAGATTTCAACAGTAAAAGAACCTTTCATTGATCTTTCACTTCCTATAATAGAGGAGAGGGTAAGAAACAGAATGTGTAATAAATAACTATTGCATCCAGTGGATTGATTTTACATACCTTTATGAGGATGATTATGTATATACACCGTTCTGATTTCAAGCCTAAAAATCTATGCTTGCCCATAAATACATGTGCTGTCATACCGTGTGCTCATTACATGATTTTATGTGTATGCAGGTATATATAGAGACATACAGTGTTGTGGTTTAGCCCCGTTCAGCAGTCAGACACCATACAGCCTCCCCGGTGGGATGGGAGGGAGAATCGGAGGAGAAGAATAAGAGAACTCGTGGGTTGAGATAAGAACACTTTAATAATTAAAAATAAATGAAATAAAATTAAATACAATAATAATGCTAATAATACTAAAGTTGTAATAAAAATACTACTACTACTAATTATCATAATATGTAATGAAAAGGAAAACAGCAAATGGAAAAAAAACCCAAATGGTACAACCACTGACCAGTGCCCAGCCAGTCCCTGAGCAGCAAGAGAGCCAGAGAGAGAGTGAAAGAGACCGTGAGAGCCTGAGCGCACCCTGAGATAGCTCCCCACCAACACATCCCAACTTATATACTGAGCATGATGCCTTATGGCATGAGATGTCCCTGTGGTCAGTTTGGATCAGCTGTCCTTGCTGTGTCCCCTCCCAGCTTCTTGTAGAGAAGCAGCTGGGAACACAGGTGCAGTATCAGAAACTGTAGAAGTCCTTGGCTTGATGTAAACCTGGCTTGGCAACAACTAAAAACATCTGGTTTATCAACATTCTTCTCAGCACAAATTCAAAATACAGCCTCATACTAGCTGCTGTGAGGAAAATTAACTCTGTGCCAACCAAAACCAGCACGCTAAGTACACATATGTTTAAATTAGTCCACACTTTGAACAAATGATCATTGTAATTTATGGTGTTGGTAGGTCTAAGACAGGTTTAATTTAGTAGTATTTTTAGTATATACTCATATAAGTAGAATGCTTATTGACTTTTTTCCTAGGTCCAGAAAGTTAGATTCTAGCCTGTTGGTTTGCATCTAGAGAAGTGAGTCCCTTTGGACTGAAGTGTACCTATGGGATGAGACTGTAAAAATAGATAGACTTTGAAAGTATTTATGCTGGCGCTTTTGGCATAAATATGCACAGAATGCCTCCAGTAGCTGCAGAGGAACTGTGTTCCTTTGAAAGCACCTACTCTGGTTTTGCAGGACTTGGGGTTTTCGTTTGGGAGAGGGGGAATGGGTTGGGAGCGTTTTTTCCCCCACCCTGCATATACTCATGTACATTTAAAGGTGAGTATTTAATGTAATATTTAACCCTGTATAGAATGTACTTGTCTCCAAACACGTGATGAGGGATGTTGACATCATAAGGTGGTAGGCGACACCAGAGACTGACTTTTGGGGAGCTGTGTCCCCTTTGGTAAATTCACATCTCGTACAGCTACGCATGTGCTTATACAGTACTAGAACAGATTACTTGGTATGAATTCTGCACAGGAATTTTGTGTCATTCCTGTTTCTTCTGGCTCTCAGTTGATCCTTCAAAAATGTTGACAGTGAGTTTATGATAAATAAAATAAGAAAGTAGTCTTATACCACAACTGGGGGGCCAGTTAATTGGATTTATGTAGGTTACTGTTTTCTGAAGTAAAGGAAGAATCCCCACCTGCATTCATCTTTTCTGTAGGTTGCAAAGGAATACGCAATTGGCACACTTCCTTTCCTAATTTCCTGTCTGATTTCTTAGGTTGCAAAACCTGTGCCTTTGGGAAGAACAGGTAAAGGTAAAAGTGTACAAGAGGCAGATCTTGGTCAGTATAACTGTTCTTCTATCACTTCCCTGAATAATCAACCCAAAATTGTCAAGAAACACGCTTTAACAAAAGATAAGGTAAGAACTTAAATACTTGCACTAACCAGTCATCTTGAGTTTATTCTGAAGTTTCGAGGCTTACAGGGGTGGGAATTTGATGCCTGTCAGTGTTTGGGGTTTTTTTCTATATGTGTAGGCATTGGATACGCATTTTTGTATACGCATTCAGGCATTGGAACAGGCTGCCCAGGGAAGTGGTGGAGTCACTATCCCTGCAGGTGTTCGAGGAACATACAGATGTGGCGCTTGAGGACATGGTCTAGTGGTTGTGGTAGTGTTGGGTTGGTGGTTGGACTGGATGATTTTATAGGTCTTTTCCAACCTTAGTGATCCTGTCATAGTTGACACAGTTTTGTTTTAAAATAGTTTGGACATTATTAGAAGTGTCGGAAATGACAGTCATTGGGAACCATTTGTTTTTCAGTTACTTTGTAAGTGGGAAAAAAATAGTCTGCAGGTTAGTTTCAGTTCCCGTGGCTTTTGGTCTAGTGGAAGGTGTCCCTGCCCATGGCAGCGGGGTTGGAATTGGATGGTCTTTAAGGTCCCTTCCAACCCAAACCATTCTGTGGTACTATGATTCTTTCACCTCTTGTCTGAGTGAGCCCTACTGGAAGGGTCTGTGGACTGTTGGAGACTGTAAATACTTTCCTGAAACAGGTCCTAACACACTATGTATGTGTGAAGAAAAAATATAACAGAATAACCATATAAAAAACTGCTAGGGGAAGAGAATGAGACAGAAGTAGCAAAAGGTCATGTGGAGAAACCAAGAATGGAAAGAAGGCAGCACAGACACTGATAGTTAGAAAAGGCCTACAACTCAAACTGGCATCACTAGAACTTTGATCCAACTCTAATCAAGGAAAAATTAAAGGAGAAGGAAAGTTTCTCACTTCTTTTTGAAAGAAGCCAAACAAATGAGAGAAAAGAATCATGAACACTTATAAATCATGTAAAATTATGGCAGCTTTAAGTTTTTGGGGTTTGTTTGGTTGGTTTGTTTGGGTTTTTTTTTTCAAATCTATAGGAGTAGTTTTCTGTGACAGCAAAGTTGGGTTTTTTTCCTTCTTGCAATAAAAACATCAAGTTCAGATAATACACAAATTAGCAAACATATGATTAAGGAAGCTTTATTTAATTCTAAGACAAACGCCTACAAGGTGAGTTGAATTTTCTTCCAGAGGTGCTCATCAGCGAATGCCTCTGATGGCAGGCTAGGCCACTAGATTAAACTTGAGAAGCTTTTAGAAGCTTAAGTTAGATTAAGTGAATACCACTTCAAACATGCCATCCACCGCTGTCACAAAGTGAACGTGATTAGTTGTGTAAGTATCGATCTCACAGTGAGTATAATGCTCTTAGCTGACTGGGGTGTAGGTTTCTAATCCTTCATCGGTTTAAAAAGGTCTTACGGAGATCAAGTAGCTTAAACGTGTGAGAGATGGAGAAGATAATAGGTTTAATTTGCTTTGAATTTGTCACGTTTCAAAAGCTACGTCAGATCGCAGATCTGTTTTCTGTTTCTCCCCTGTATTACTGAAATCATAACGCCATCATTTACAGAATCAATTGAACCAGGAGAGACGGCTTGCCAGAAAAGCTTCCTCAAATGAAGAGGAAAGGAGTCCTGTTATCATGCACGAAAAAAGCAAAAAGCTTGAGCCGGCAGGTAGCTCTGGCGTCCTGTACGCCAAAGACACGACCGCGGACTCCGCTGTAAACGGGAGTCAGACGGACGGCAGCGAGAAGGAAGCCAGCCGCTCTGAAAGCAGCTTCGATGCAGACAGCGAAGCCTCAGAAAGCGAAAGTGCTTCTAAGCAAACAGCCTTCAGCCCCTCCAGCAACACGTCTGGTTTGCACGTCAACCACGTGAATGGTAAAACGCCGCGCGGCAAACCAAGTGACGGTAATGAGGAGGTGATTTCCAGCGCCGTCGCCAAACTCAGCCTCTGTGATAACATCAGCGAAGATAAAAAGTCGAGCCGGGGGGATCCCGCATTAGGTTTATCAAATACTTCCGTCTTCTCACTAGACAAATCCCAGCTATCCCAAAACCCTCAGAACGCTTTCCAGACGCTTTCCCAAAGCTACGTAACAAGCTCAAAGGAGTGTTCCGTTCAGTCCTGCCTTTACCAGTTCACTTCTGTGGAACTTCTGATGGGGAACAACAAGCTTTTGTGTGAGAGCTGCACAGAAAGGAAGCAGAAGTATCAGAAGAAAACCAACTCCACAGGTAGTGTGTGTGTGCTTATATCTGTCTGCACACTGGACAAAATTGCCTGTCAAAACCCGTGCTGGCTGCTCTTCCATTGCTCCAGCACGGGCCCCCCGCCTTGTGCCCAAAGAGGAAATGTCTCCTCAAGCAGAACTTGGCTTGTGACAACTTAAAATTTCATCCTGTGAAAGCAAAAAGACTAAATTTTACATTAGAATGTAATCATAGATGTAAATTTAGGATTTGGTTTGCGTCTTTATTACTGCTGTTTCTGTTCTTTACAATCCGAGAAGCTTTGAAATAAATGCTGTAATATTCAGCTCTCACAGGTGGAAGACACACAGGGAAGTCATGTAAATAAGTATGTAAGAGGGCCAAAAAAGATGCTCGTAATGAGAGGAAAAACAGTCTTACAGAGATTTTTACGAATGGAGATGAAAGAGAACTACCTTCTCCTGACAGTGTTTTCCTCCATGTTTGTATGGCCCAAGCAGACCATCAGGGTTCACTGAGTAAGAAAACCAATTTAAATACAATTTAAAAGGACTGGAGAATTTATTTTCATGTTAGTAATTCAGAAAGATAAAAAAAAATTAAGCTCTTCTGATTACTTGTAAATAAAATATAAAGGGAAGCCTTACAGTAACAATTGTTTGCTGTGCTTTCCAGGTATCTGGAGAGAGAAAAGTTAAGTAGGAGTTAATTCAGAAAAAATAATTTAAAAAAAAGTATTTTATAATAATTCATTTGTCACTACTGGACTGAGAAAAAGTGCTATATCAGTAATACTTTGCTTCCATGGGAAAACAGTGAAAAAAGGAAAGGGAAAATCAGTTCATAATTAATCATTTTTTTCCTTCTAAAACAAAAACTAAGAGTCACCTACTTTTACTTAAAATGCTCTATTCTACCTCAAATGAAATATTTTCCTTTGGACTTGTTTATGACCAGTAAATTAAAGAATTACTCAACGAACAAAATACTTTTAAGTGTAGACCGAGCCACTGAGCTGTTTTTGGTGAGAGCCCCAGATTCAGTTCCCTCTGCATCCCAGGGGGATTGGAGCCCACATTTCCTAGTGCTGCATGCAGAAGCCAGCAGGTTACCAGGCATCCTGGAGCAGACACCACCCTCAGGCCTTCCTCTTAAATAAGCACAAAGAGCTGAAGAATGTCACATTCATCTCTCCTCTTAGCGGTTAGGACATCAGCGTAGATGAAGAGACCTGTGCCCTCCCGTTCTTGTTCCAGTGATCATCCCTCTGAGGTGAAACGGTTTAAACAGGGAAGTGGGGTGCTCTAGTAACAGGCAGTGTAGGTATCTCGGCCTAGGTAGCGTGCACGCTTCCAGCTTTGATGGGATTTGCGCAGGACGGGTTAAAATTACGCTCCAGTTTTGCAGATGATGTTTATTAAACCCAAGAAAAGGGAGAAAATATTTTTCTGTAACTCCACAAGATTTCCCTTGGATTTTCTACTACAAAATCCTGGCAGCGTAGATCTGTTCAGTCAGATGTTTAAAAAAAATACGTCAGTACTGCGTGACTGCCTCACGTTACGAATTATTTTTATATTCATAAATGCAGAAAAGAAAATGGACGGTGTCTACACAAATGCTCGGAAACAGCTGCTGATTTCTTCGGTCCCTGCTATTCTTATTCTCCATCTGAAAAGATTCCACCAGGTAAAAGGCCAAAACCATCTTCCCTATTCCTCTGCCTCCCTGGTGGACAAGCAGTTCTCCAAGTGTCATCATGCATACTGGTATTTGCTTTTTATATGGAGAACTGGTAGAACCTCTATTTGAAACATGCTTATGGGTTTTCTTGGCTGTCTAATAGCTTCAGAGAGCCTTGAGCCAGTATCCAGGGAAACCTCTTACGTGTCCATCGTGCTTATGTGTAGCAGGCACTGAAAACGTAACAAGGAGTGTTTAAGTCAGCTACAATATTGTGCTTGGGGTTGGTTTATTTTAATAGTATAGTCATACACCTTAGCTTTAAAAAGCTTCATACTAAAAATATTTATCATACAGTCTTTTTTTTTTTTTCCCCCTTTCCTTTTGAAGGCTGGTTTGAGTCTACGGAAAGTAAATAGGCACGTGGATTTCCCACTGATTTTAGACTTGGCACCGTTCTGTTCCGCATCTTGTAAGGTACGCATTTCAAATTGTAAATCTTTATTTTTGTCGTACTTCAGCTGTTGTCCTGAGCGCAAGCTAAACTGGGATGATGATGATGATGATGACGATGATGACGACTGGCTTCAAGGCCAGGCTGGATGAGGCTTTGAGCAACCTGGTCTAGTGGAAGGTGTCCCTGCCCATGGCAGGGGGGTTGGAACTGGATGATCTTTAAGTGCCCTTCCAACCCAAACCATTCTGTGATTCTATTCCTTCCTTTCCTAGATAAATGATAGAGTAAATGTTTTCAAATAGCATCCCAAAATCAGAATTGTGACTAGTTGAAATTCCATTTATAACAAGAACACCATGGATGTTAACTCGTACTAGTTAAGCTATGGTGCCCCAGTGGTGGTAATCTAACAGCATTAAGGACAAGTATTGCTGCTTCCATGGTAACTAAATTCAATTAGTAGACACTTGAATATTCTTAATAGATGCATTTTGCCATTGGAAATTCTGTAGATGTCTGTTTGCTTCTTTTAAAGTAATCCTGTTGAAAGCTAGTTAAGACAACCTGTAGAATTCACTGTGAAGTAATGTGTCTTTGTTTTCTGTGTTTCTGGGAATGCAGAATGTGACGGATGGTGCCAGAGTGCTGTACAGTCTTTACGGAATAGTGGAGCACAGTGGGTCAATGAGAGGTGGTCATTATGCAGCGTATGTGAAAGTCAGGACATCCTCCAAGAAATTACTAGAGCATATTTCTACCACGAAAAATGTTCTAGGTATGTACAGACAGAGCCTCCTTTCTCTGTGAGTCAGACCAAAAGCAACCACTGGCTGCAGCTTCATATCCTTAAAGGGATTTATGGCAAGTAATTCTTTTAGCTCAGAATATCCTGTTGCTTTTAGGGCCACGTAAATAAATGCTTTTTTATCTGTTACACCCAGTACATGACCTACTTCTGTATTAACCCCACATAGAGCTGAGCGAATAATGGAATTTTGGTTCAGTTATTAAACAGAGAATTGATAGAAAACTCTTCTCTCTTTCTTAGTCAAAATAGTATGTCCAAATGAATAGTTGTGCCCTGTAAAATGTAATTATTTGGCATATTTGAAAATGTTCCTGTACAAGAGCTGCATCCATGACAATTTAAATTAAATTTTCATATATTTCAGAATTTTACCTATCTTAGGATTGAAATTGTTTTAATACTTAAAAATCTGGAATACTTTGGTTTAATGTGAGCAGCAAGAAACTTTTTCATGGAGGATACAAGGTTTGCTGTAGGGTTTCTATCGGTATTTTGAGAACAGCACACTAGTTCTTACTAATATGTTTGGATATGCAGAAAGAAATAAGGAGGATACGAGGTTTGCTTTGTTTCTATCAGTATTTTGAGAACAGCACACTAGTTCTTACTAATATGTTTGGATATGCAGAAAGAAATAAGATTCTGCTCTAGAATCTGTTAGGGGATGTCCTGGTTTAGCTCTGGCCAGCAGAATACCACAAAGCCGCTCTCACAGATCCCCCCTCCCCTCCTTCAGCGGAGGGGGAGAATCATAGGGAAAAAACACCCTAAGGAAGCTTGTAAAATTGAGATCAGAACTATTTACTAATTGAATCTAAATGAATATATACATTGCTTTTTTTTGCATTTCAGGTTTGAAAGAAGCCATGGGAGCATCAGGAGGACAGTGGGTGTATGTGAGTGATGCCCATGTTCAGATGGTTCCCGAATCAAGAGTACTAAATGCACAAGCATATCTACTTTTTTATGAGCGATTATTACTGTAATTCTCAACCATTTAATTTAAAAGATGGTAGTGGTTATTTAGTTTATCTTATTTAAAGCTGCAGCGCTAAGAGTACCTGTAAATATTGTGCCTTGTAGAGAATTTATCATATGTTGACTCTGAAGTTCAGCCAAGCTATTATAAATATCTGAATTGTTCTCTTAAAGTACGCACTTTGCCAAACATATACAATTTAAAATACAGTACTGTTAGAACGTAAGATGACGTCCTGTCCTACTGAGGTCTATGGAAAGTTTCTTCTTGAGTTTAATAATGATAAGCTTTCACCCATAGCCCTAGAACAGTTGAGAATGAAAGCGCTGATAGCGTTAAGTGCCTGGGTTTGCTGGCGTACAGTACTGCTAGAAAGTATTTCACCTTCTGTGGTCTCGTCCAGACCCTTCCCGACAGCGGGTTGGGTGTCAGCTGTTAAGATTTCCGCAAACAAGTACCTGCCAAATTGTGTTGCAGCCACGTGTGGTAACTGGAAAGCACGGTGCTTCCAGAATGGAGTGACAGCAGCTGTCCCTGGGTAATGCTGCAGTGCATTTCCCTGACAGAGCTGGGAATAGATTGGGAGAACATGGGTTCTGCAAGGTGACGGTGAATCCACGGATACGTGGTGCCCTTTCAGCTGTCCCCAGCTGGCACTGGTAGAGCAATGTACATCTGGTTTACTATAAATGTATACGTGGTGTGCATACGTACATCCTCTGACATAGAAATATATACGTGCGTGTGTGTGTAAATATATGCACACCGTAAATCCATCAACATTGTCATTTTACCTACTAGGAAAGAGAATTGCAAATACTTCTGTATTTAGTAAATTTTTCGACTTCACAATTGGGTACAGCATATAGGCTGGTGTATGAATATGTATGGGGTTTAGGTGTATCTGGGTAATTCTGTTACTTTTGGTTCTAAACATGAATTTGTTTATCTGTTCCCGAATACTTTTCTCACAGGAGTAATAAACTATAATTATTTTTGCACTGTGTGTGTGAGTGAGACAGTAAATGATGACTTTTGCCCTCTGATATGTGTCTGGACTTCCCTTTGTCATTGGTGGAGGACAGCAGGTGTCCTGGGGGTAGAACCTGCTCACCTGCTCCCAATCCTGTTTGACTGCCCTGCTGCGAGTTGTTACTTCTTCTGATGGTTGTGCATTTCCATCCCAGAGCAGTAGATACGTTTTAAGGTAAAAATCTGATGACTACTTTGCAGCTATGTGGCAATTAATTTATTTAATAAGCAGTTACTCACATACAAATTACTTCTGTAACAGTTCCATCCTGTCCAACCTGCTTTTTGGTAGACAAAAGACTTTATTTCTGCTTATTTTCATTTATGGAAATTATTTTTTTGGTGAAAAAACCCATGCTATTACTACCTCTACCAGGTGTTGTCCTACCTCCTTGCGCAACTTTCCTATTCCCTAGTTGTGTTTCAGCTCTTCGTCCCGTATGCATTCACTCTTGCGTAAGAAGGTAGCAGAACCTGCCGTAGCTGCGTTGGCTGACACCACGGCCAGCTGCACGCACGCTATGGAAACAGCGACGTGTTTTCAGAGCTTGACTGAAGGGCTCTGAAGTTTGAGGCTCCTTAAAATACCTTGTTACCAAACTTAAGTATCATTTCAGCCTACAGCCTTCATAGAGCTACACCCTATCTCTGTGCTGCCCCCCACCCCGAGAAAGCAGAGCAGCCTGTTTCTCCATGTGGAGTAGCTTAGGAACAGCTTTCTCCTCGACCCATCCTTCTCACACAGGTTTTCTTCATCAGCCTCATCTGTTCTTCAGCTTTTCAGGGTCTCCTTAAGCCTCTGTCTCAATGTCTTTTCTTGCAGTGACCCTTACCCATAACATATCCCACTCTCATCTCTTGCATTCCATGAACTAGCCAAACTCTTACCAGAAAAGCTACTGTAACTAGAATCTTGCCTCCTACCGCCACCCTGCCTCTGCCGACCAGCTGCAGTGCAGGTAGCTGAGGAAAGCCGTGACCCCAGTCACAGGCAGTGCCTTAAAACACTGAGAAAAAAGCAAAGCAAATAGCTCCTCACTCTTTGGTGAGTAAACCTAATTGATGCAAATCAAGTACAAGGGGACAACTGGAACCCCTTACAAAAGTTTCCCCAGAGCAGAGGCATCAACAAAGACGGTTGTATCAGGTAAGGAGTTCGTCCAGATTATAGCCTCCTCAGAAACGTCTTTGTTATCTTCGGATGTATAGATCATTTGTGCTAAATAAGGAAAAAAGTGAGGGGAGGAGATTTGTTACACTAACCTATCTACACCAATACATGCACAGACGTGTTTTATAGAACCACAGACCAGTTTGGGTTGGAAGGGACCTTAAAGACCATCTAGTTCCAACCCCCCTGCCATGGGCAGGGACACCTTCCACTAGACCAGGTTGCTCAAAGCCTCATCCAGCCTGGCCTAGTAGCAGTATCAAACCAAGGTTTGAAAAGGAATAATTTCTTGATGAGAAACTTTAAAATGTATTAGAATGGGAACAAAGAAAGCGTTTGATTGCAACTCTTATGTCAGCAAAAAGTAGCAGATCCAATTGTAATTAAAAAGTGGTAGCATACTTCACAAAACAGCTTCACAACAGCCCTGATTACACAAAAATTTGATATTCCTCAGTTTTCATCAACGGAAAACTTTGTTTGCTGTGCCCTGTACACATTGATGCATTTGTACAAAGGGCTGTATCCCTGCGTGAAAGAGATGCCATTAATTCCAAATATTATTAAGTAATCAGGGCCTGAAACACAGACTGTATTTAAAACAAATAAACAAACAAACAAACAGGTCTGATTAGTTTTCCAATCTATCCTAGGTGCTGTAACAGGTTTCTCAGAAGAAAGCTGCCATTCTTCTATTCATTTTGTCTTTTCATCTATGTCGTATGTTATTTGACAAATGTATAAATAAAACATCCATCCATTTGGAAAATTATATTGTTTGAATATAAGCTGTACGTGGTACAGTTGAGTTCACAAATCTTCCTTTTTTTGCTAACTAAAGAGGGAGTATTTTTTTCCTTTCATCTTCCATCACAACTTCACTGCACTTGGAAGAGCTACCCAGAGACCATAGAGTCATGGAATGGTTTGGGTTGGAAGGGACCTTAAAGATCATCTAGTTCCAACCCCCCTGCCCTGGGCAGGGACACCTTCCACTAGACCAGGTTGCTCAAAGCCTCATCCAGCCTGGCCTGGACTCCATATCCTTGAAGCTGATCCACTTGTTTCCCCCTGCCTTACCATCTGTGGCAGAGGTCATAGATTAAGAGACAGTTTGTTCCCTTTACAAGAACCGAGTTCTGTGATTCTGCGAGAAGACCAGGAGTGCATCCCCCTCGCATCCCCAGTTTCCGTAGTAGTTTAAGGCTTGCCCATGCAGAAGTACCACTCCAGGATTCCAGCTGTGGGTCAGCCTGACGGACTTAAAACTCCCGCACTGCTTCTGTGTGTGGGAAGCGTTCTCAGTCCAGCCATTCCTTGTGTCAGAAAAACCGAGACATCTAGAGCGCCGGTTAACAGCAGTATGTAGTGTAAGTGCCACCAGCGAATCGTACGAGATCATTACATGAAGTAAACCACAAGTTTCTTGAAGCTTTCAATCGCCCACAGATTTATAAAAGTTAATTCACTCTGTTACTCTATGGGGGCATCAATGTCACGTTATCCGATGATCAGAGGGATTATGGACGTTTTAGGCATTTACATCTGGTGATGCTAAAGGAAGGCAAGGTGAATCACAGAGGTGAGCAATGTGCTGGCTAATTAAAATCTCCGTGCCACAAAAAGCGCTGCAACCGCTACAGAATCATCCCCAACGTCAAGAGCTGCTTACCGGAGATGATTTTGGTTTATCTTCACGCGCGCCAACGCAACGGCGATTTCACGGTAACTTACACGTTAATTTAGACATTCTGACTAAAGGACGCCAGGAGCTGTCCTGCTCCAGACGGGCCTACACCGGCCGGCCCCGGCGCGCCGGCCCCCGCACTACGCAGCGGGCACAGCGCATCCACCCGGCGAAGGAGCCTCACGCGCTCCTTCCACCCGCCGCGCTGGAACCGGGGAGCCTGCTCCCACATCAGCCGTTACCTCCGGAGG